TGATGCTGACGACGGCTGCTTTTTTTCCTTTTCAGAACGGGGAAGAGAGGGGGGAACGTAGAAAGACACGCCCAAGAGTCTTGAGAGCTTTAATACAATAACAACAAAAAAACGACAGCAGAAACAAATGGGCTTCTTCCAAATAGAAAGAATCATGACACCGGGAGAGAGGCTTGAAATAAGATGGGGTGGATCGGGATAGGACTGATTGAGGGGGGGGGGGGGTGAATGACAGAAGGACGACAAAAGAGGGAGCGAGAGATAAAGAAAAGGAGAAAGAAAATTTTTATGACCCCGCAAAGCACTCGCAGCAAACACCCCAATGTGGTGGTGTCTGAGCTCTATGACTCATCGCAAAGCTCGGTAGCTTGGAGAGGGGCTATACAAGTCGGGAAAGCACGCATTGGCCCTTTAAGCAGTGTGCCTTTCCGACTGTTTGGAAGGCATGATCGAAATATGATCGGATCGAGTAAAAAATTGTCACACGGATTCACCCACTTAAACTTCAACTTCTGACACATATTTTTTTTAATGTTTCCATCTGGGCTGGCGGCCCATGTGTACGATATTCAGTCTCAAAAGCGTCGTCTCGATTGTCATTATATGATACAACGTCAGTCCAGCTCGTATTAAACTTTCTTGAAAGGAATAATGACTTGGGTGCTTTAGTAATATAAATAGCACTGAGTGCCACAAAGACATATCGGACCCCCCTCCTCTCCAGCCACCCTCTTCCTACCGCTTCTAACAGTTTCGTTGCTTCCCGAGCTTTTGCGCAGGCTGATTTCATCACCCTGACCTATATCCGTAGCCAATCTTTCTGCTTTACTGTGAGTTGCTAGTTCCACTAATAGAGCTAACATAGCTTTTGAGTAAGTCCAACGGCACTGTATTACTAGGCCCCAGTGGAAAATAAGGCCGGCCAGAGCACACTTTAAGCAGATTTTAAAAAATTGCAAGAAAAGGTATTGACAAAAAAACAAATTTGATTCTCGGAAGAAAAAAAAAACGGGCATTCGGATAAAGGGGCACCCGTCCGACTGCGCGGCCAAGAGTATACAAAAGGAATCAAGGTCTACAGAGGTCTTTGACACAAAAATGAAGCCCCTAATGGGTGCCTGGAGGGCAACGGTAACACATTTAATCTTAATTTCAAGTTACCTTTTTCCACCAGAACAAACTACCCTCTTTATCTTGTATCCCAAGAAAAGACTGTTTTTAATCCCAAACAAATTCAGGTCTTTAATTGAATTTTTAACGTTTCTTTGCTTCTAGTTTGCTTGGAGGGGCTTTTGTTGTTGTTTGTTTGTTTGTTGATGATGTAGTAGTCATTGCAGTTGTTGCTGTTACAGCAGCTGTTGCTGTTATTGTACTGAGGTTATTTCAGGGAGAAGCTTGGGCTCACTGTTTGTTGATAGATTTATTATTGTCGCCGAGCTGCGATTACTGTTGTTGAAAGGTACTGACGTACACAGAAAGTGAACAAAAAGAAAGCGACGAGCGAATGAGAAAGGGAAAAATAGATAGATATATATATAGTGAAAGGGGGGGGGGCAAGTATTTAAACGCACAAACAGACAGACAGACAGACAGACAGACAGACAGACAGACAGACAGACAGACAGGGAGGGAGGGAGGGACGGAGGGAG